AGAGGAAAAATAAGCAGGCCAAAGACTGAAGCCTTTTATCGGATCTGGTTTCTGAACTTGGGTATGAGATTATTGGGCACTATTCACCTTTCACTGACCCACTCTTCGAAATCTCTGCCAGATTCTGTGCTGGACATTACTAATCCCGCATTTTGATTTGGGTAAAATACGTAACACAGATACCGCGCCCGCTTGTCTCAAACCGCTTGGCCCTGGCGTCAGAGACGCTGTGCTGAAACATCTCTCAGCACCGATTTTATTGCAAATGTTTTTCCAGTATTTGCAATTCTACTGGTCCATGGTGCCATAAATGTGCTTATAGAACATAAGCCACCCCCTTTGTTTCAAACGGGCATGCATATGCATGTGCAGGGGACATACTTCCCTTGTGAACAAAGTTTTGACCAAATTTACCTTAGAGGACGATTTCAATCAGAATCTGGCTTACAGTTCGGAGACTAGGGCAGTAGTGGATAAGCAGTGCTAGATATTCTTCTTCTCGGTATAGAAAACAAGAAAAAGCTGCTTCCGAAATGAAATAAGTCCCAAATAGACACAGAAGATTACTACTGCTCCGCAAGTGTGATCACCCACTGGGTGTAGGGACCAAGATAAAGTCTTCACCATCACTTCATCAACCGATTAGGCAATCCTGCCGGCGCTGAATGGAGGTCTTGTAAAGGTTTTGAAGTACTAGTCAGCAGGCATAAATTCTCTTGAAATCTCTGCAGGCCCTATAAAATCGACCTAAGGTATGCTGCAAGCTTGAGTCATTCCAGTGGCATCCAGACCGAACATCAAGAGCTAAACCTTGCCTCTGTTGTTTTTGTGTTTATTGCTTGCCCATTTATGGCTTTGTTGTTAGCCAGATACTGAGTGAGAACTGTTGGACAGCCGTTAGACTGCGATCTGCGTTAGAATTGTTGAGAATGCTATTTTGTGGGTTGTTCGAGCCTTTTTTCTAGCGCTGTAGCCTTTGGCTCACCATCGGGTTCGCCATTCGAAGCATCATTCTGACATTCAGAAAACGGCGATAGAATGGGAATCGTTGACATATCTATGGCCTGTCATGAGCTGCCAATGCAGTCTGCTGTTTTTTCCCTTGTGACGTGCGCCATGCACGTCAAGCTATTATGGCTTAAAGTCGATCATTTCCTTTTTACGATTATTTAATTTAATCACCCTCTTCTAAAGTGCACACTTCCATAATTCTCCATGCTGCGGGGCATTGTAATTTGTAATATCATCACCTCTATCACCTAAGTCACAGGTGTTTTAGGGGATCAGGGAGTGGATGGGTCCTACTTTGAAATTCATATCTCTGATGTACACTCCTTATCCCTGAGACGGAGTAGGCGTGGCTTTTGAGCATGGCATAGGACGGGTTTCTCGTGGGATACTTCAATTTGAAACAACTGCTATCTTGTTCTGTGTTAGATGTAGACATGATTACGACTGCTCCAAAATGACAATATCTCACGAAAACCTGGGCCGCCGCCATTTTAAAATCAAGTACGCAGCCACGCCTACCCGATCTCAGGGATTTCGAGTATACTTCTCTGGTGCTCATAGGGATACCAGCATACCCTTATTCAAGGTCTTCCATTGCTGGCGAGCATCTTCCGGGTAGACGTTCTTTGTTTGCTTAATCCTAATTGTCAACAAGCAACATTAATAAAGGGCAACAATAATTGCAGGATCTTAGTATAGAAACGGAAACCAAACTACCTCCTTACACTGACCCCCATGTATAATAGTTAACAACTAATTGTGAAGCAAGAAAAAACATGTGCTCCTGTACACCACATTACAGTCAATACAATACCTTACTTTTACTGCTATAATCAGGGCGTCGAGGTCGGAAGCGATCAAAGAAGCGACCAAGGGTTGCACATGGAGGGCACCTGGAATTATTCCGTGGTGAGGCCGTCAGTGCAAAATTTTTAGTAGCGGCTTCGGACGCTCCTATCAGCCCTGCTGGCTTCTAAGCTCATTCAACAAACCTGTGTGACATCTCCGGCCTCCTAACGGTCAAGGAATCAAGTCATGTCATGACGACCAAGCGACGGGAGCCTGTACGTGGGTACTTGTGCAAGGAGGCGGCTAACAGGATGATAGGAAACACTCAGCTGCACCAGGATGCCACGCGACATACTGGAACGCCTCTCTTTGAGTACGAACAGTGGTGTCAGGTACAGTCCTCATCATTGCGGACCGGTGGGGCGTGGCAGTGCGGCTGCATTTGGTGCGGTTTGGCAAAGTCGTTCTGCACCAGTTTTTGAAGCGAACAAGTGCATTACTGTATAATATCCTTCGTATTACTCGTTTTCTACCACTTTTTTGTCGCATACGCGCTCAACAAAAAGGCTGAGAACGGCTTCAACAGTGTGCACACTCCTTCTGGGCTGACACGCCCCATCCGGTCCGCAATGATGAGGACTGTAGTTTCCCGTTCTCGCGACCGCTGCAGAGCACGACATCTTGGCGAATACTTAGCGCTTGGATCACTCTTTACGTTACTTTACCATCCGCCTGCGAGAATAATATGTAAAATCCGGACAGTCTGCGAACAAGGGTCCATGTACCTTTTTAGCCATTGCGCCCTAAGAGTTGCTCAAAGGTGGTAAGGCACTGGAGATGAAACAGAGACTATCTGTATTCAGCGCCTTACTCCTGCCAGTCGGTGGCAGAGATTGAATCCACAAATAACCATGCTTCTTTTTGATACAACACACATGCTACAGTGCGGCATAGATCGTAGCGCTATAACAATGCTCCGACGTTCTTTTTTTATTCACAAGCATTTCAAGAGTCTATTTCGATGAAATGGACCGCAGCAATCTATGATTACACAGAAACTCAAAAGTGATCTTGTTTAGGGGGGACAAACACTCTCACTCCTTCCTTCACCATATATGGTGTGGTGGGACGTATTCCTGTTTATGTGTCAAAGGCCGCACAATGATAGCAGTTGATATCGTCGCAGGTAAGTCGGGAGAGGCGGGCAGAGAGCGATATATATAAGCCCACGCAGAGGCGGGTCGGGTTTTCGTTCCAGTGGTGGTTTTCTTACCCTAAATCCGATCTTTATCGCGTATCAGTGTTGGGTAAGAGAAAGTCGAAGGAAAGACAAAGGGGAGAATCAAACCCCAAACGCGGTGTTGATCTTTCCTTCATCCCCCCCCCCCTTCTGACTCCATTCAGACTGATGGCGATATCGAATATGTGAGTCGTGTCGTCGCCTCTAACGCTGCGTGTCTCTCGCGCGGAAGAATGGTTTATAGTTTCCACTCGTTGAGCTATGATCTGTTACTGAGATGGTTCAACTAGTTGGAGTTCTTTGACTGAAATTCTGGTGGATGTCTACGGATAGAAGCATCGAGCCTACTTCACCATACTGATAATAACTGCTGGAGGTGCGAGTGGTGGCAGCCTACGTCTGGTAAAAATCGAGAGTTTGGGAAAAATAGTATTTGAAAGTTTTGAAAGTTTTAAGTTTCTAAAGTTCTCATTTTGGAAGTCACTGAGCAACCTATGTAATTTATCTCGCAGGGCAGGGATGGCGCCAGTGATTGCTGCAATCGCTGACAATGCAAGCGAAAGTCCTCACGAAGAAAATTCTCACCAGATCAGGCAATTCCTACCAGCTTGCTGCAGTTTATCCCTACACCCTCTCTTATTGGTTCAGTGGTAAATTGGTAGCAGCAGCGTCCTTCAGGGAGGGGTAGAGGCACTCACTATCTGGTAAATCAGTATTTATAGGCACTGTAGTGCTTCAGCTGTTCTCGAGCGTTGCACCTCGAGCACCTCGAAAATGTGTAAAAAATCAAAAACACCCACAATAAGATAAAAGTGCGGAATTAGCACTAATCCCTTTTGTTAGTGATAGAAAAAGAACGGCAGAAAAAATCACTAAAGTATTTCGTCTTTTGTTCGCAGTATCTTTCCATACGATAACGAGTAATCCAGGGACTTTGTTAGACTACTCGTCACTTGCACTTTCCTTGTTTACTATTCGGCTTACTGTAGCTGAAATAGGCGCTCTTCCACCAGGTAAAGAATTTTCACTTCCATAACGAATGGCAAAGGAGAGGCAGTATTGTAATTATGGAGTACGTATACATAATAAGCCTCTGTTTTTACGAATTGCTCAACAACAAAATTCTTAAAAAGCTTGGGTGGCCACCATATCGGCAATTTGATGGCTGCACTTCCAAAGGGCATTTATTATGAAAACTAAGTAATCCACCATTTACTAAAAAACACTCGTGTTCACAGATGGAGAGAGCGTAGTCAATGGTCCTATCAGAAATCTGAAAAGCGTTCACTGAATTTTCCCAAATGAAGCGTGGAGAAATGGCATTTCCCTACTGGGCTCAATAAATGAGGTGTGCGCCACGCTTCCGTCATCCAGCCTGGGCTGTAACAGTACATATTTGCAAACCATTCCGCCTCTAGAATTATACATTTTTTCCCACCGAATCTCCGTCTGTTGGGCTTACTATACATCCTAATACACCCCCAGGACATCCATTCTTGATGCTGACGCTACTTGGCGCTACCGCATTATCCACCGAAGCATTTTTTGTATAAAGCACAATGCGCTCATTTTTTTTCAAAATCGTGGTACGTTAGGTGCGGTTTGGCCAACTAGAAACAAAGAAAACAAAATATTGGGAGAAACCCAAAGCACAGATGGTCGCCTCTTAGCGCAAGACGAATTCGCTGTTGTCGATACGACGTAGTGGGGCAATTAGCAGAGAAGCTTTCTTAAACTGTGGTGGAAGCTAATCAAGGCGTGGAAGATTGGGCTAGCACGCGAGGGATTCGGTTGCGAAGCTGAACAGACACTTTACCGGTGAGAACGCTCACCGCACTAGAATCGCCTCCACGCCCAATCAAAAGGGAGAATAGTGGGCATGAGCATGAGCAGAATTCTGGTCTACCAAGCTTCTCGGGAGATAAGAGTTGTAGGGTTACATAGTACAAGTGATATGCAGCTCCCCACCATTTGTTAGGATGCTCGATGTCTACGCATATTTTTCTTTTATAGTTAGGTGCTTGATAGCATAAGGTACATAGGAACAGGAAGAAGAATGGATGTATCCCCCGAAGAACTCTAGTCAGATTGAAAACATTTTTTCATTCTCGGGACATTTGAAACTTCTTTGGTTTTTTCGCGGAAAAATTCATAGATTTCTCTTTTTCTATGAGAAGACAGCTGCAATCGTCTCTGGTGATGGAAACTTTCAATTTTTCAAGGTCTGTATTTATTTCAGGACAAGCCAGAAATGTGGTGCATTTTTTGGTGGAAGACTGGTGTTTATCTGCATTGCTTGGTGTAATCACTGCACTAAACGTGCTTTTCTGTTGGAAATGGACGTGCGCCATCGAATTACTTCAACACGGTAAAGTCTTCTCATACTATCTCAATGTCTACTTAGAGGCAGTTGGCACGATAAATCCCATAAGACGGCTAGGATCAGTACGCCTGGCAGGACGAAATTCCGCGATCCTGAGAAGGCACTGTATAGCGGCTTCTCCAAGGAATTTGCCCTTATGAGGGCCCTATCAAGTCCAGCAACATACCGACCCAAACGCCCACCACGCCCGCCCGCCCACAAATGGACGACCGTTCCTGACGCTCGTATTCATTCATTTGCTAAGCAAATTATGAAGCGAAGGGATTAGTGTGAAGCTTTCCGTGATGCTGCATGCATACATGGGTACACATATGCAGCCGTATCTTCGGTAGCGGTGATTGGCAAGATGCCTACGGGAAACTCGTCCGAAATCGATTTTCAAGTCACTGAGAACGAAGGCTCTTTCTTCGCACCTCTAAGCTTGATTGATTGACTGAGCCTAGTCCCTTTGGGAATCAAGATGCAGCTTTCTTCTTGCGACAATGTGAACTTCATGTCTCAGATATGGGGAAGGTATCGCTGAACACTTCATAAACTCACTGATCATCCTTCATTTCAAGAACATCTATACATCATCCCGTCTAATGTTATGATGTGATTTGTTTCCTTCAACGGTTGTTCCGTTGTGGATTCTAATAACTTCAAAAGATAAAAAATGCAATTTGTGGGGGAAAAGGTTTCCTTCTCCTCTCTGGTTTTTGCAGGCGACTGTTCGGTCACTCGTCAAGGGGTCCCTAGAAAAGAAGTAGGGTAGAAAAAGAAAAGGAAGGAAAGGTCCTCCTCATTTAGCGCAAATAATTAATTAATAAAGGGTTGCACAAGATCCTTCCGCTAGGCCCTAGTTCGTTGAGATAGCGGCTCAAGAGGGACCGTGAAAAGAGAGTTCTCTGTGTGAGAAGCGGAGCGCCATAGTACCGCACCACAGAGTAGAATTCAGTGTAACGAACATTAGCTTATTCCCCAAGAAATTGAACTTCCATAAGAGAACAGTGAGAAGGTAATAGTTCTGGGGCCCACTAACTTCTCGATGGAGTTTCTTCTTCAAGGACACATTCTGCGATAGGTGACCAGGCGTAGAAAAAGGCCATAGTGAGGACCTTTGCTGATGCGCCCTTGCTTTCCAGTAATGTGAGAGGGCAGAGCACAAATGAGTAATATTAACACGTTGACGACAACGCGGGTTTTTACTTTTCGGCCTCGTGGGACACGCGCGCTTTCTCGAACGCCACAGGCGCGGTACGCATACAATTCAAGCCGTCCCACGAGGCGCCTTTTTTGGAGGTTCGATCAGAAAACCTGGTTTAAGGAGCAATTATAAAGTAAGCTAACCAGTCACTTTGAAAAAAACTAGGCAGGCCAGCTCTCGTTGCACCAGGTGCCAGAAATTTTTCTGTATCCAGTGTTTCCATAAAAAACACAACTCGCGCCTTCTATAGGATACAGTGATTCGTCATCATATACCTTTTATCATTATTTATATTGTATTTGTCTATATTTGTTAGTAAAGAGTTGAAGAGCAAACCAATCCAAGCAAAGGATGATCTTTTCCCAAAAAGTCTTTGCTAAACTATTGTGTACTAAACTATTCCGTGGACCACGCGTTGTACGAGTATACTGAGGACTGAATTATAGAATGAATATGAGAAACTAAACAAAAAACCATGCACTGGTGAAAGATATGGATTTTTGACCGTGATTCGTATACAATTCGCGGTCCCACGTGGCCTACAAAGCGCGCATTAAATGCGTATCACGCTGTCGTCAATGTGTTAATACGCAGCGGTTGTCCACTTCCGCCCACTTATTCGGCCGTACACTTTCGCGGAATGTGCCTTGAACGCCGGAATTTCAATCATCTTTCAACGAAAAACGATCTTTTATATTTAACGCTTTCAGCACACGTCGTCGTTTATGATGTTTTCCTGCAAATATCTAGTCACTTGGCCTTTTTCTCATGGGTGATGCATGTGGTTATTTTGACAGCTCTTTCGGCTGTTTTTTGTCAAATCGTCTCTAAGCAAGCAGTTGGTGAGCTTTTTTTTGATCTGTTATGAAATGATGTCTGTTTCCCTTACAACTCGTTCATAACGATTTCAGGATCTGGAATTCCTGAAGTGAAAGTGATCATGCATGGCTTCAAAATGGACAATTATCTCACGTTCCGCACATTGATAGCTAAAATGGTCGGCTTGACGTTAGCCATGGGCGGAGGGCTGCCAATAGGAAAAGAGGTTGCTCCAACATCTTCAGTAGGACTCAGAGTGGTTTATTATTTCATTTTGTTCATTTTCACCGTTTATTCTAGGGCCCATTCGTGCACATGGGAGCAATTTGTGGCGACGTTGCTGTCGAAGATCACTGCTTCGTGCCAGTACTCGGCGTTCTTCTCGAATGAGGGTCGTGAAATGGAGATGCTGAGCAGCGGCTGTGCAGTTGGAATCGCCTGCACATTTTCAGCTCCAATCGGAGGTGAGAGAAGCTCCTCATAGTACGTACTTGTAGGAGTAGTGAGAGACAAAAATCCGTTTCGTAATGCAAGAAGCGCATGCCTAGTTACCATAGCAGTAGAAGTGATATGGCCAAGCCCAGCTGAATGGCGCACACACTGCTCCTGGCACTTCAGCCAATTTTCTCCCTTGATGTTTGCGCTGTATGACGGTCGAGGCTGACTTTTTCTATGCTTGAGGGTCTCTGCGTCTAATCAACTCGCTGTGTTTGTCCAAATGTCTAAAAAACGACGAGAATCTTGGGACGCTTGTCAGCGGATTTCTTCTGCTCTCTTCTTTCACAATCACTTAACAGTTGTTTAATATTCAAGTCTGGGAACCACAGAGTTGCGGTCGCGGAAGTTACACTCATAGTCACGGAGAGATGGGCGCTTGTATCGGACGTGGCTGGCTGCTATTGTGAGCTATCCACTTGCGCCACATGCTATCCTCGTCTTGAGTAACATACATGAATTACAGTTGGTCAGCTGCCCCACCAAAAACGAACCGCCACCATTGAATGCACCAGCCACGCCCTCCCACTTCGAGATATGCATCAACATAAGTCACGCGTTGCTGCCAACGACCTTCACTCTGTACCTACGGTGAGAGGGGTTTAATTCTGGGCACAGTTGGTCACGCGAGAGCGTCTAGAAAACTTTTGCTTTTTCTTAGCATTATACGACTTCATCTAAATTCACTTTCATTAGTTGAGCGTCATTAGGTTTCAAATGCCAATAATGAATAGTTTCTTCGGCGGTAACTACCACTTTTTAAAGCGAGTGCCACGCACGCCACTAACCATAAGTACGCAGTTACGATCCATCTATCTCCTGGATACAAAGTGTAGGTCATCTCATTCAAACTTGTGGAGACATATAGGCGAATGTCAGGAAGCAGACGGGTTAGTTCTGTGGTCTCGTATAGCGCTTGGAAACTAATGCATCTACCTACACATTGGTGAATATTGGCCGACATAGCCACAGAGCAAAATTTCGAGAAACTGAAAAGCAACGTGGGTTGTCAAAATCAGCCGTCATCTCAAATCGGGTGTCATGCAAGAAAAGTCCGGCTCTATCCAGGCAACAAAACAGTCATTGCAGGTAAAGCCTATTCCTTGGCGACCACATCGTTGATGGATTCTACCACACAAGTATTAGAGAGCCATCGTTGTTCATCGCAATGTCTGGCCCTATCTGACCTTATTATTGAGCAGTGTTCCGGCTGAAACAATACTACCAATGAGACTTGGATTCAGTCACCTCATTCGCCCAACCCACGGCCATGCACTTTCACCTGTTCTGGTCAGTTGAAGGTTCAGTCCAATGTTGAAAGCTACGACGTTTTGTCATTCGCTGAAATCGGCATCCAGCAGTTTACTCACCTTGTTGAAGAAACGAGGATGCTACCGGTAAGCGCTCGGCCTAGGCAGGCACTGGGAGCGGGTCATCCATAAAAGCGAGATACGTAACATAGAGTCAAAACATTACTTTTCTATCTTTTTTTTCTTGTTCGTTTCATTTGAATAAAGCCGTCAATTTTTTTGAACGAGATGACGATTATTGCAAGAGTGAATAACAATCAAAGGGAACTTTCCACCCCCCAATAGGCGTTTCAAATTCAAAAGGGTTCGGGTCCTTCCTGGAGTTGTGGTTTTGCATTTTCTCAAAAATGCTCCCTGCACATCCTAAAAGCACTTTTGCGGGGTTAGGAGACCTGATCTTACCGAAAAATGTTGTTTCTGAAGGAATGGAGCCATTCTGGAACACTCCTGAAGGATACCCTTGATTG